GCCGATGGCAGAGGAGAAGAATGGAGAGGATGACGGGAGAAGAAGCAGGTTGATGAGAAAAGCAAAAAGGCTAGAGACTGGAGGAGGTGACAGAGAGGACGACGACAGCTCAAAGGGCAGCCGCAAGCAGGTGGAGACACGTGGGGAGGAGGAAGAAGAGACGGGGAGGACTGATGAAGGGTGTCAAGCTGCAATGTCTATTGCCACCACTGAAGGGCAGATGGAAAGAGGAGAGGAAGAGGAGGAGGATGACGGGGTGGGATCTGGTGGCGAGGTACTCAAGCAGATTCAGAGCAATGACCAAAACTGTTTGTAGCAGCCATGTTTGTAGTTTTAAGCATCATCTTTGTAGGAACATTCCTTGGGCACGGAACAACTAACAAACTCAATTATCCATTATTTAAATGAAAAACAAAAGTCTGGGAAGTGATTATTTGTTTTAAATTAAAACGTTATTTAAATGATATTCACTCATTTACTTCCAACTATATATGAACGTTCTTTGCAGGATCTTATGTTTTATATGTCAATGCAGAATATGTCTGTTTTTAGGGTTATTGGCCCCCCCCCCCGACCAGAAGACTCGGTATTTATAATTAGAAACTGACAGGGACTGAAACACATTAATGCCACTGGTTCTATTGTTTATCTAAGACACAAACACACATTTTTCAAGTTTAATTTATTAAGTTGATAATTTCTATATTACACATCTCATGTACATCAAATCAAACTGGGGAAAGAAAATAGGGTTAACCGTAAACCTCTTATTAAAGCCTCTTTTACAAAAGAAAATTTATTGACACAATTTACAGCTTGTTTTCATATACAGGAGAGTGACAGTGATTTAGTTGTCTAGAAAAAAAAGAATTATGATATTTACATATATGCATTACTACTACACGGCCAGGATTTTATTATGATTGACCCAGAAGAAGTTTAAAATGACACTCTGCATTAGGGGTAGCGATCACAAGTAGGCGACTTGGCCGATCAGCTTTTCCTCATGATGTACTGCATTTGTTATATTAAACTAGCTTTATCCCAGGTGAAGGTTACTGGCAGATACCAGACCATGTCAGCACACGTGGAAACAAAGCCCAGTTACTGACCCAGACTGGATGCCCCTGCATGCAGTAAAGTGGAGGGTCATTTTTAAAAAGTGCTCTACTTTGTCGGACAACGCACAACTGCGCTGTTCATCAGTAACCAAGCCTCTTTTCAGTGGGTTTAATAACTAATCCACTCTAAAATGAGCAGCCACACTACCTGGAGTTCATGTTTCATAGAGACAAAAGAGGTTAATCATCTTTTTTAACTCTGTTACTGTTGATCAGATACTGTTAGCCAAACCAAAAAAAATTATTGCATTTATAATGTAACTACTGTTCTGTACACACTTAACACTGGATTCCACGTTGGTAGAACATCTGGAGGTTTCTCTGTGCACCCACCCACACACACATACACCTGAACAGTAGCCTGCCAAAATCAGCTGTTCTTGGAATCCAAAATCAATACTAGAGTAAGAATCTTTAACACATTTTCAAAACTGCATGTATTATTTCACTGTGTCAGAAATTAATTAGTAATAATATTTGCAAAAAGAATGAAATTGTGTTAAGAGAACATACTCGCTAGGTAAAATGTTAGTTTAAATATGAAGCAGAAGATAACCGCATCTTTTTGGCAGAGTTAAATTTATATGTATAAAAAACAAAAAACAAACAAAAAAAAAAACAGTATTTATTAATCATGTTTACTTTGTGGTCCACTTTTGACCAAGAGAGGAGTTAAGTGGTACCCGCTCTGTCACTCACCATCAACTGCTACGTGTGGGTGAAGAGCTGTGTGTTTGCAAAGAAAGCATTCAAAATGTCGATTTTGATTTGGTTTGACTTGAATTTGGTGCTCCACTTGTGTTCCTAATGTTCTGACATAGTCAGTATATCCTGGGTACTGAATACACTGAAAACCATCTTAAAATACTCGCATCAACCCCACTGAATTTCTTTAGGATCATGCTTTCAAAAGAAACAACCCACAAATTTAAAAAGCCGTAAAAGGTCTGTAGCTGATACTATGACGAATAACTTCTATTCTCTCCCAGAAGACATCCCATCTCTGACCCTATAAAACTAGGGTGTGTTTGAGCTCTGCTGAACTCTTCCACCACTATAAATAGTGGAGGTTACAACACTTTTCACAGTCATTAATGATTTATAGATCAAATACTACAGAACCTGGAGTACAAAACAGGTTCTCCCTCGTTACTTATATTAGGCAAATCTTTATGAAGCACCAAGATTTTTGATTTCAGTGTTAACGTGGAGAGCCCCTTTGTATAGATTCACCAAGTCAAAACTATCATTTTACATTGCCATGTGTTACTGATTCACTTTAGTCATGATATGTGGAAAAAAGCGAGAGACTTTTGGGACATTATATTATATAGGCCAAAAAAAGAAAAACTTGAAATAACAGACTTCAGTGACTTTTGGTGAAACATAAACCTGTTTTAAAACTAGTGCACCCTCTCAATCCCACCTTAAAATTTAAGACCATCAGAGAATGGAACGCAGAGCAACTTAAGAAGAAATCAGGTAGTCAAAGACCCATGACACAACATTACTGTCAGAACATGTTGCTCCAAGGCCTCAGCACAGTACTGCCTGCCGATATGTGACCACAGGTTTAAGGAGGAAAAACAACTGCATTCCTTTTAGACAGATGTCACTGAAGGTGAGTTTTCAGGATCACATGCATGATTTGGTGCACATTCTGGGAAACAGGAGCAGCTTCATTGTTTTGGTTTAAAACAACGCCCAATGTTCATATACCCATCAGGCCCCTTAGAGGCCTGCTGTGAGCGTGGCATGTATGGCAGACATTGGTTGCCCAGATCCTTTGCAATGACATGCAGTCTTGCACATGCACCAGCAGAAGTACCATACAGGTGCACAAGTACAGAAAACACTGCCCTATTCTCAAAAGGCTCCCTGATTTGAACACTGGTGGACTCGATTCCCTCAGACTCATACATCCACTAGTTAAACCTCTCCTCCATTCTCTCACTCCTGCCCGAAGCCTTCTGTCTCCTCGATGGCAAACATCAGCTTCTCCTTCAGCTGCTCATAGCTCTTGTAGGGTGGCAGGTCCAGTCTGTTGAAGCTGGGAAAGAACATAAGCACAGTTCAGCTTGACACTGGACTTCTCTTCCTTTAGTATCTAGTAATACTAGTAATAATTATAATCATAATGTTTTTATTCATTACAGGCAGGTACTGACAGCAGGTAAAGTCAGTCAGACCACTGACTGTACACAGGCCTACCATCAGTTCTGCGCGCTGCTGACAGGAGTGGAAGTGGTACAATTCACTTTAGAGGTGTGCAATATTATATTAGATGCTTCTTCGGGGCATGAATGTCACCGCCGTTCAAAAATGGACCAATCACATATTTTTCTCTGAAACCTGCATGCACTGCCAAGACTCTAATTGCACAAGTAGGAGTAGAAGTGGTTTAGCTACCCCCCGGTACCCTCGCAGTAGCTTGCACTAAGTTCCTAAACTCCTGACTTCAGTGTTTTGTCACCACCCCATGCTGTTGTCTGCTCTCATCTGCTGTCCAGGTGAGATGCAGCACATTTCAAACAAGCCCATGGAGAGTGCAGAAAAGAGAACCAGCATATTGTGAGAAGTGCAAGAAAAGGTTTTCATATGCCAAAGAGTAAAACCATAAAAGTGCCGACACTGTGTACCGGCCCATTTCAGAACTTGACTCATGAAGAACTACTTTTCTCCTTACACCTAGAAATCTGGTTAAGATCAAGTCCCCACTTATGAAAGCTAGCTACAAAACACCAACTTAGCTAAATCAGGAAACACTACAGCTTATATTGTTGAGTCAACTTTAGGTTTTGATCCAGATGGAGTGACTCTGCTGCAGGTTGTGGTTTGCACGAACTCACCACGTGTGACTTCTAGGAAGCCAGTTTTCTTTTCCCACTTTCTCAATACAGAACTTCTGTGGACCGTTGCTCCCTGTGAAATGAAACACAGGTCAGTAGGAAGTAGAGGGCTGGAAATTATTTAACCTCATGCTATGACAAGTTCTCAATAAACAGTGCTCAAGCAAAAGGACAGACATGAGTCAAGTTTACACAGAATCAAAACAGAACAAAGCTCTGCAAGGTTTGGAACATTATCCAGACAGAGGCCTAGATGCATATTCCATCTGCATTTGAAATTAAATGCCAATTTATATTACTGTAATTATTACCCATAAGGTCAGCGAAGCCTCCTACAGGTAGGCGACAGGTACCGGTGACAAACTGCAGCAGCCTCATCCTCTTCTCATTGTCCATCTCCTTCATGAACTGAAGTGACAAGTGGCAAGTTGCTTGACACACTTGAATATCACCACGTTACAGGTCATCAAATATATCAACATATTTTGTTACACATCCAGTGAAGTTATTAAACGTGTATTTCCTTATATACTGAATGCCTGTGTAGATAACAGTAAAAAGGTTGCACACACACTGACCTGCCAGAACCAGACAATCTGTTTGCTGCTCCGAGCGTAGTGTCTGTAGATGGTGTTTCTTTGCCAGTCTGCAAGGTCAATCTCCTGCATACCACACAGCATAACCTGCAACAGGACACAAGTTATTAATATTAACAATTATGCATCTAGAAAGAGCTGCTGCAGTGAAATAACCAAGTCAAATTCAAATGTCCTTGCACAGTATGTGCTATAGATGTCAGACAGGTCTCATTTGTACTATGTAAATGGAAGAGTTCCTGGTCCATCCACACCTCCAGCTCTTTGGCATCAAAGTACTGCAGGTATTGCTGAGGAAGGACCTCATTGAAGCCTTCAAAGAAAGCCTGTGTCTGCTCTTCTACTCCTCTGGACAGTCTCCACTCTGATACCAGCCTGTGGGGGAGGACACACAGAGGTTGCACCTCTTAAAACTCAAATACTGAAACTAAATTTGACCTTCATTTCCTGAAAAACTGTACACAGGGAACACGTTAAAACCAAGCCGACATGGAATCCAATGTGTGGAGTACTAGACTGAAATGTACTGAATGAAAATTCCTGAAACCTACTTGATGTACTCCTCCTTGTTCTCCTCAGTGACTTGGATGTCTCCTCCTCCAGGTTTCAGCTCATGGGTGGTGATTTCCCCCAGGATCTCTTTGTCAACAGAGAAGAACATCTCTAACTCGCACTCCTCAATGTTGTTATCCCTGAAGAGCAGCACAGACTGTTACAGCACAACCACTATACCAGCCAGTGTGTCTACCAATCTACCTACCTCACTATATACCTTCTGCTCCCACTGCTTTTGCAGAGGAGGGAGAGCTCCTGATATACATCATGCTCATATCACATTATAAATAGATCTCTGACAGACACTGCGCGCACACACACACACACACACACACACACACACACACAGCGTGTCAAGTATATTTAAACGTCAAAGGGAGGACCTCCATACTGTGTTTTTCATCACAGCAGAGATAGAAACTGGCTGGCAGCTGCTGTTATCCCTCCCTTATCATCTGCCATTCATCCACAGTGAAGTTTGTACAAACAGCCCTGTTGTTGTCAAGTCTGAACCATTCTGCAGAACCGGCTCAGATTTAACTAGGATTTGCAAACATCTCTGTGCTACAGCGAGACTGCCTCTTTCCCACAGCCTTCCACGTGGCTCTGTGTACTCACTTGATCCATATGAGGGAGTTGTAAAACTCAGGGTCTATTGACTCCAGGTCTTTGAGAGCCAGTGGCTTGTTGAGGATGCGCTTATAAAATGGCAGTGAGAAACCAGTGTCGATAAACTTGCCATGGAAAAGAGCCTAAGGGACAGAAACAATATGTTGCTTGATTTTGTTCACAGGTCTCTCTGTACAGTACAAAACCCTGAAAAGTACCCTTACAATAACCTTTCTTGCAAAACTAATGAAAATCCAATGCATGATAAAATGACTTACCATGGCGATGAAACGTCCTATGAACTTGAAATACTTGAGGTGGTCAGGATTGATGTAGGAGGCGGGGTTGATCTGGAGACAGTAGTTATCTTTACCGGCATATTCGAACAGGCAGTACATGGGGTTCAAAACTTCATGGGACAAGAGGAAGAACCACTCCCTGGAAAAGAAACAGGAGTTAGAAAAGGGCCACGTGGCTAATTAGTCTAACCCCTAGGTAATATATTACACAGACACTGAAAGCATCTACAACAGCCTCTTATCAGTCATGAGTAGAAACATTTATTTATGGGAAACTTCTGCCAATGAACTTAGAAGCAAAACTTCAAAATCACAGGCAAGATGGGTTAGAAAGTGAGCTCCAAAATACCCAAGTGCAGGGCTTGACATTAACACCTGCCAACCCACCAAATGCGGGTGGATTTCAGCAGTGGTGAGTAACATAGCCGTTCCCACTAGCCACTTTGGTGGGTTGAATTTTGGATATATATTTTTAATGCCAAAAAAAGGCACCTGAAATAATGAACTAATTGCAATGTGACACTACAACTCCCATGAGCACTACCTGCACAGAGTTTGCTCATTGGTCCATTCGTGAAGCTTACTGCCTTGCGATTGCGCACCAGTGACTGAAAATACACTGTGGAGATGTGAACTGGAGAAACTATGTGGTGGAACATAAACACATAAGAGAGATCCTGACAATGAAAATGAAAGAGGAGACAAAGAAAAAGAAAAGACAGTTCAACCAAACGTAGAAGTCAGGTCGAGAGTGTCTTGTATACGATCTAGCCAAAAGTTTCATGTACTGCGCCGACCGTAGGACGTATGGCAGTAAAAAGGTGAAGGGAGTCTCTTTTTTTTGGTTGGGACATGCAATTTCAAAGTTGAAACTATAAGAAATGTAGGCTGGTCTTTACAGTATTTACTGCTGTCTAATAAATATTTGATAATGACTTGTAGTGTTATACATTTTATATAGTCTTGATTTGGGTGTGTACAGTGGTCATTTACGTTTTAAAAGGTAAATAATAAATAAATAAATAAAAAAAAATTGATTCCATGTCAAGTAAATTTTAGCATACCATATTCAGTTTTAATCATATAAATCATAATTTCCCAACAACAAAATTGTGGCAAGAAAAAAACCCTGTGTGGCTAGTAACTCTGAAAACCACTAGCCACAGTGGCTGGTGAGCAAAAAAGTTGATATCAAGCCCTGTCCAAGTGAATCTACAGAACACATTTTTCTTACTGCATGTGAGCACAGACCTGGCAACACCTCCATAATCAAGGCCCTCTTCACCAGGGAAGATGATCCACAGTCTCCTTCGCAGATCTTGAGCGTTAAAGCTCATTATCTGTAATAGAGAATATATTGACAGTTTGGTGGTTAATCATTGTATAATGTAAGTTAGTGGGGGATATTACAGTTTTTCTGACTTGCTTAATCTTATCTGTACAGCACTGTTGCAGCTCTAAAAGCATTAACCTCAATCACCACAGTTTTATATTGAGTAAATGACTTCACTGCCTCCACAACATGTGCTTTCATGTTGCTTAAGCTGAGACAAACAATAAGACACAATGACAAGGAAACTGTATCAGTATGACAGCAGACATAACTGTGTGTCAACATTTACATACAGCGACAGCATACATACAGCTGACTGAATAAACACATTCCTTAAAAACATCAGTTGAAACTGACTGTTGACAGGTTTCTTGCTGTTGACGTTTCTACTGTCTCCTACTCACAGTGAATACTGTCTATGCACCAGTAATGTAAATAAATATAAAGTGACAGTAAAAATAATCTGTCACTACACAAACTGAAGTTAACTGGGAAATACTTTTTTCAAAAAAGGCTAGGAGCAGCCATCACTCCTCAGTCTC